TTTTTGTAAAACTTTAAAAAAAAATTTTAATAAAAAAAAATAGAAATTAAATCCCAGCGTGCACTCACATACTTGCTATATTATTCTTTGATTGGAAATCCAGAAGTTTCTAGAAAACCTGTAAGAAGCTTCTGAAAATAATTTTATTTGTATTAGAATCACATATTACTCAATTACCTTTTTTTTTTTTTTTGCACACGGTGGCTGAGGTCTAAAGCGAAAACGTTTTATAAAACCCAGCTGAAGGCCTAAGACTGGGTGACAGCGCGCGTGCCCACAGAGAGGGCTCTGAGTGCCAGAGGTTCGGCACCACTGATATAGTTGCTGGTTTCTATTTAGGAAGTTTATCAGAGATTAATATGCTTGTTTACAGCTGACATGATATGGCAGATGTTTGCTTTATTTTCATGTATCTGATCTAACAGAGGTTTGATGTTAATCACTGCAATCGATGTAGAAAGAGGTTTTAAAAAATGAAGACCGGCAACTGTATAGCCAAGCAGTTAGGCTGGCAATTTTAGTGAGGAGTACCTGTTTAAAATATGCTCTTTCAGAGGGTACAAAGAGCTTCATCTCTTCATGTTGGCTTTTCTGAATGGAATCATGCTCCTTCTTGATTGGCCACTGGTTAAATGGACTGAATTCTTTAGCGAAAAGGAAACCTGCTCTCATAGAAGTTGGCATGAAAGACCTTTGAGAACAGAGGGGTGGCAGTACTCTAAAATATGAAGCAGATAGGATTCTGACATACTCTTTAGTTGGATTGCAGCTTTTGCTACCCTTTTGTAGTTTTTCAGAGTGGATGGAGTGACTGTCATCATCTTTCGGTGACCTTGAAATTAACTTCAGAGATGGAAATGAATGAATCAACTTTTCCTGCTTAAAATATGCTGTCAAATAAATATATAACCCTGTGATATATACAAAGAGAAGTGATTCCATCTGCCTTGTTCCTCAGACACAAAATAGCTATTCAGTGTTATTGGAAAATAAATCTTTATATGTATTTTGAAGAATCTTCATTATGAAATCCAGGTCAGAACACCTTTCTTAGCATACTCTTACGATGCCAACTTCTAAGGATAAGGGAAATATAGCTTTGTAGGTACCCACAAAGTTGGGACTGATCTTTTCAGTCTAAGGATAAGGGAAATATAGTTTTGTAGGTACCCACAAAGTTAGGACTGATCTTTTCAGTCTCACAACTGGAATATGTTAGAACCATGTGATCTAACATGAATAAAAGCATGGATCACTCAGAATGGTTTGTGGTTTTTTATTTGCTGTAGTTGCAAAAACTTTTGTCAAGTTTTTACACACTAATACTTCCATGCTCTACTCTGCACATAAAAGCCTATCTGCCATTCTCGAAGAGGAATGATGGGGTATTTTTCACAACTACCACAGAGTTGTATATGGATATAGCTTTGAGCTTCTTATGATGCAGTAAAGGAATTATTTGCCACTTATCACCAAAAACTACATGCTGTATAGAATAATTTTATCTTCCTTTCATTGTCATTGTTTACAACTTTTTAAATATATGTGATACTACAGTTCATATTTATTATTTCAGTTTTACATACATTCAAAGTCCTTCCTTGCCCCATTAATAAGAATCTATTTATTATAGTCATTTCTGCATAAAGATAAAATATAATATTTACTTGCTCTAGGTAATAGTTGTTCCAGGTGTTAATCCATTTTGTTATTCATTATCTTAAGGATGGTCAAAATCCAGTACACGTAAGCAATTTACTGTAATTGTAACTGAAGGTCTGTAACTAAGTCTTGGTCAAAGTACATAACTCTGTTCGTTATAAAAGAATTCCTGTAAGAATACCCAGGGCAAAAGATAAATAGATTGCAATCTTACAGTTTGGAAAAGAGTCCTGTACTGTGTATAGCTGACTTTTTATTGTGTGTATTTGTGCAATAAACTAAGAGTAAGTCCTTGCAACAAACTTGTTGCGGAATACAGACACTTATTTTACTGCATATAGAGCAGTGGTTCTCAACCTTTCTAATGCCGCGACCCCACAATACAGTTCCTCATGTTGTGGTGACCCCCAACCACTTATACATCACTGGGTGCCAGGGACATGGCCAAAGAAAAGGGGGAAAAAATGGCGGACAGCCTTGTTTGGCGACCCCCATGAAATGGTTGTTCGACCCCAAATGGGGTCCCGACCCACAGGTTGAGAACCACTGATATAGAGGCTGTTTGACTTCTAGAAGCTCTGGGTGCCATAAACTTTAAAAGTAGGAATGGTAAAAGAAAAAAAAAAGAAATAGTACATAGTACTATTAATAGTACTATTAATGAAACCCAAGACACCAGAAGAAAATTATCAGAGGCTGGACAACCTACACACCTCCAAGCCTGTGAAGGAAGCTAGATTATCAAAGACTTGAAATTATTGCATGATTGGAACTATACAGCTCTTTTCCAAATCCTTTGGACCAATTTAAACTCCTTGGTTAAGAAGTCTTCATTATGTATATATTTTTATATGGTAGAACCATTCAGCAACTTACTTTAAATTGTATGAACCCAGACAGTTTAACAATATAATATAGTATGGCCTCAGCTTGTTTAGTTTTATTTTATTATTTTTGTTACAAATAAATGCATTTTTTCAGCTTTTTCTATAAAATCTCTTAATTTTTTTAGATCTGGATTACAGTATTTTAAGATTTATTCATTTTTCAAATATTTCCAATTCAGTTATTCCATGTGTAAAAAAAATGAGTAGCACTAAATATGTTTCTGTAAAATTTGAGAAATATACTTTTTTCAAATCTACATTTTGGGATGATGATGCCATTTAATGTTAGTTCTGTGTATTTTTCCAATACCTTTTGATGGTGCTATCTAAGGTAAATAAATGGAACAAAATTTAAAGGAGTTTAAACCTACAGGAACTTTCCCTAGCTAGAGCTGAGAGCTGTCCAGATGTATTAATATAATGTATAATGTTTACTGGAGTCCAACACTTTTGGTATAGTCACTTTGCAGTGAATTTATTGAATGTTTCTACTATAAGATTCCTCATTTTATTAGGAATCATTACATTTTATTTTAAGAGCAGGAACAGTTTGTAAAAGATGATTATCAGTGATATATTATGAAAGCAGAATAACTTGATTTTTCATTGGGCTTGGGAAATAAGTTTTTTTTACTGAAGATATTGTGTTCAATTTTGTGTTCATGCTAATGGGAAATATAAATCTTCTACCTGTATGCTTATAGCTAAGGCAAGGCAATTTGTGTTGTCAGCCAATGCTGTTTTGTTCATAGCATTAATGAGCTGGCTGTAATTGATCCTGTTTACTTTTCTTTAGACTTTTCAACACATTGTGAAATAGGAAGGGAGGAAGAAGTCCTTCTGTGCTTGGTACTCAGATGTGGAGTATTCAAAGAGATTTCATATTTACTGTATATATTTTATGTGCTCTGGGAGACAATCATATAAAATAATAGGATGCTAGCACTTTGTATTGTTTTACACATTCACTGTTAATAATAAAAATATAGTGTTTCTCATCAAAATGTAGATTATGCATACAAGGTTTTCTGAGTTTTCAGAGTGAATAAGTCTAATATTTTTTTTATCCTTTGAAATGTTACCGTGTGCAATACAAACCAAGGAATGATAAAAAGAAACCTAAGTTTCATACTACTAATTATTGGAAGAACTATATATTATTCTGTGATATAACTATCTCTTCGGCTTACTTTATATTGTATTGTGCCAGGTAAAAGTCAAATCAAAACTCTTCTTGGTTAAATCTGATATTGGAATAGAGTTAAAGCTTTCTCTTGATTTTGATCATCGGCAGGTTTGAATGTTCTGAACAAGTTGAAGAACATATTCTTTTGGGGTTTTCCTTGAAACTCTTTTTTGAACAGACCTATCTAGAGCTTCACCAAAATCCCTTTGCTGAAATTGAAGCAGCAATTCTAAATCCACATATCCCACATTGCAAAGGAAGTGGATAGGTATATATTCAAAATTTTGATAATCAAAATTATCAAAGACATAATACACAAGGCTTTTTTTCTCATAGAACGCCCAGAACAGAGTTCAGGCACCTTTTTTGGATGGAACCTTGTAGGGTAGACAAGGCGGGTTGTATGATGTGTGTGAGTTCCGGCACCTTTTTTTTTTTTTTTTTTTTTTTTTTAGAAAAAAAGCACTGCTAATACATATTAAGTTCCTTTCTGTCTACCTCGTTTTTGTAGCCAATTATAAAAAGTATCCCATGTTTTAAAATAAACTGAATCTTCTTTCTCTTTCATTTTAAATGTCAATCTATCCATTTCTGCACACTCTAAGGTTTTTTTAATAATACTTCCTCCGCTGGTAGATCTTCATTTTTCCAATATTGAGCAAATACAATTCTTGCTGCAGTTAATATATGTAAAATTAAATATATACACTCTTTTTATAATTACCTATAATTATGGCTAACAAAAATAATTCTGGCTTAAAATCTATAGGTTTTTTCATTATTTTCTCTAACCATGTATGTATTCTTAACCAGAAGTGGACAGGTTGATAGGAAGAGGCTGAACAGGCTTTTGGACAAGAATAAATTGTTTTATTAACAGTCAGGTAAATTGGACATGTATCTAAATAGTCATGCTGCTTTCAACACCATTGCTTTCAGGATTACTTCCTGGTTTGCATCATATTTAAATTAAAAGGTAACAACTATGATTGGCCTAGGACTAGGTAATATGGGTTATTTATTTAACTGGCCAATGATTTACATAATTTGTTTTTCATTCTTCTGGTTAGATTGTGTCAGTGATGTGTGATTATGGGATATGAAAAGATTAAAAAATTGAAAAATATCTTCACGTTTTTCAATTAATGGAACTAATTTTCAAGTACTGACATAATATTTAAAAACCAACAAAATGATGTTCCTAGAATATAGTATATAATACCTCTTGTTTGTCTATATGACAGTATGAATGATTTTATTTCTAGATCCTTGGTGGAAAGATGGATGAGCACTTACCAGAACAGCACAATACTCCAAGGATGGTCAACCTATCAGAGACTAGTAATGAATCTTCCAATTTACCAAGTGTTGAAGAAGCTGACAAAAAGTTATATATTCAGGATGATGTACATATTGCAGACACAAGATGTGAAAAAAGCATAGAAAGTGAAGAGTTAATACTGGATCCCACCTTACCATCTATTGATTTAAATGAGGATGCAAATGTAATTGAAGCACAACCTGCTCCAGATTTTAATGGAGATTGCTGTGAGTTAAAAACAAAAGAATCCAAGGAAGCAGATTGCTTTCCCAGTGGACAAGGCGAACAACAGGTTTTGAAAACTGAGGACAAAAATCAATCCTTGACAGACCTATTTCAGGATCATGTGAAAAGACCTTACGGGGTCTGTTCAGAGAGCCCATATGACACAGATTACACTAAGAACCTAATCTCAAATCTAGAGAATGCTTCCTCTCAGGATGCTTTGCTAGAAGAAATTGAATCTGAGCTCCTGTCAACAGATTTGTTGAGAAATCCTACACTTTCAAACGGAATGTGCAATACGAAGACTACATTGGCTCTATTTGAAAAATGCATTCAAGATAAATATTTACAGCAAGAGCATATAATAAAGAAGTGAGTACTGTGTGAATAGCTGCATACTGCCGCTTAAACCTTTTTGTGGTCTGTAATAGATTTAAAGTTTTGTCTGGATAACCATAATGATATGATCATACTGCAACTGATAGTTGGACAAATATTTTTGAAACTTTGAGTTTTAGGAGTCCCTTAAGGTAACTCTTTGGGAATGTGAGGGCCAAGATGCTTATTAATCTGCAAAAATTGGGCAATGTCAGCCCAGTGTCTATGTTAGTCATATTTTTCAGTGTACTTTTTGCGGGTGAGGAGATACTTTGCATTAAAAGTAGAATGAAAAACCTTCCATTGTCAAGCATTTCTTTTGCTGTAATGGGATGCTGAGTAATTGGTTAAGAAATAAATTGTAGTCTAAAACAACATAGAATTATGCAGCATCCCTGCTAAGATGCATTGTCATCAGATATGACAATTAGTGTAACATATACATAAAAATAGATATTGGATATATGTTTACATTAACCTTGAATTAAAGTTAGATAGGGATAATTACCTATAGAAGATGAACTTACAATAAAAGGGGTAACTGGAAAGAATTTAGTCTAACATGAATTGAAGCCCTTTGCAAAATCATTGTCGTATCTTCTGTTTTATGTTAGAGGAGAGTTGCTTAATTAGCTTCATAGCTAATTCTTAACTATGAAATTACCATTATCCAAAGGTTGAAATGATACTGTAAAAACCTAGCAGTAAACACAACAGTTGCTAAAGCATAGCAACCAAACATAATATATAGTCCGCCTATCAGAATTTTTGTCAGTTGATGGAGCATTTGTTGTTGCATAGTAACATGTACAAAGTCAACTATAATCTATTGGTTGTACATTTTTTAGACATGGTTGAATGGGTATTGCGATCCCCCTGTGATTAGTAATGTATACTTCATGAATTTTTCAAGGTAATTGGATCCAAGAAGATTTAGTTATTTTTATAGGTTTGATTTGAGTAGCTATCTTGAATCATATACTGAGTGGTAGATATATAAATAGATTAAATATAAATGCTCTTGGACTAATCAATATATTGCTACTTTCACCCGAAGCACTCTGCAGAGGCCAGAGAATGAACTTTTTAAATTGTTTTTTATTAGATTTATCTAAGTATACAATATAAATAAAAATAGTGCAAAAATGGGGAAGGCAAAAGGGGAACAAAAGAGATATAGGGTAAAGGTGAAGAAAAGAAAAAACGGATTCTTTTTAGTCCAGTAGAGTAACATAATAACGTTATAGCTTCAACTTTTTACTTTTATGTACTTAATATGTACTAGCCATTCTATAACAAAAAACTTATATAATTAGCAGAATCCAAAGTCAACCTGGATAGTGAACCTTTGAGAAGCTATACAGGATCCTGCTTCCCCTTTTTTTTTTTTTTTTTTGTCTTCTAGCCTAATAGTTTGGATATATTTACAAACATGTTATTTTTGCCATGAATGTAGCTGTTCTAGGTGCCCAGGTTGTGCTGTTTTGTTGTATGACTTTCAAGCTTTTTCTACCCAGACAGTTAGAGTGCAGTACTGCAGGCCACTTTAGCTGACTGTGTTCAGCAGGTCAGGGGTTCAAATCTCACCGGCTCAAGGTTGACTCAGCCTTCCATCCTTCCGGGGTAGGTAAAATGAGGACCCAGATTGTTGGGGGCAATGTAAATATATATATACATTGCTTACTGGTGTACACCGCTTAGAGAGTGCTTGCACTTAAAGCGGTATATAAGTCTCATAAATAAATAAATAAATAAATAGTCCTCTAGTTAAGACCACAATGGAGCTCAAAATTTATGTGCTAAGTGAAACATTCGTTAAGTGAGTTTTGCCCCATTTTATGGCTTTTCTTGCCACAGTTGTTAAGTGAACCATTGCATTTGTTAAGTTGGTAACATGATTGTTAAGTGAATCTGGGTTCCCCATTGACTTTGCTTGTCAGAAGGTCACAAAAGCTGATCACATGACTGCCCCCCACTGCAGCTGTCATAAATATGAACCAGTTGCCAAGCATCCGAATTTTGAACATGTGACCATGGGATTGCTGCAACAGTCATGTAAAAAATAGTCATAAGTCACTTTTTTCAGCGCCATTGGAATTTCAAACTGTCACTAAGTAAAACTGTTGTAAGTCAAGGATTACCTGTAACTCCGCAATTTTCATCTAAAAGCTGTCCAGTAGTTCCAGGAAAATAGTGTGGGCTGTTGTTGTTTTTTTTTTCCTGAAAGCCAACCGAGTACAACTTTACTGTTTGAGATAATAATAATAGTGATGATGATGATGATGATGATGATGATAATAATAATAATAAAGTTAGAAGGTACCTTGGAGGCCATCTAGTCCAACCCCCTGCTCAGGCAGGAAACCCTATACCATTTCAGAAAATGGCTGTCCAGTCTCCTCTTAAAAACTTCCAGTGTTGGAGCATTCACCACTTCTGGAGGCAGGTTGTTCCACTGGTTAATAGTTCTAACTGTCCGGAAGTTTCTCCTTAGTTATAGATTGCTTCTCTCCTTGATTATTTCCATCCGTTGCTTTCAGGCACTTTGGAAAATAGCTTCACTCCCTCTTCTTTGTGGCAGCCCCTGAGATATTGGAATACTGCTATCATGTCCCCCCTCGTCCTTCTCTTCATTAAACTAGACATACCCAATTCCAGCAACCGTTCCTTATATGTTTTAGCTTCCAGTCCCCTAATCATCTTTGTTACTCTTCTCTGTACTCTTTCTAGAGTCTCAACATCTTTTTTACATCGTGGTGACCAAAATTGGATGCAGTATTCCAAGTGTGGCCTTACCAAGGCATTGTAAAGTGGTATTAATACTTCACGTGATCTTGATTCTATCCCTCTGTTAATGCAGCCTAGCACTGTGTTGGCCTTTTTGGCAGCTGCAGCACACTGCTGGCTCATATTTAGGTGATTGTCCACTAGGACTCCGAGATCCCTTTCCTACTATTGAGCAAGGTACCTTCTATACCAGCGGTTCTCAATCTATGGGTCGCGACCCCATTTGGGGTCGAACGACCATTTTACGGGGGTCGCCAAACAACGCGATCCGCCATTTTTCCCCCTCGGGGCGGTGCCGCGCATGCGCGCTGCGCATGGGGCTGCATGTCCGTGTGACCGGGGGTCGCCGTATAAAAAGGTTGAGAACCGCTGTTCTATACTATACCTGTACATTTGGTTTTTCTTGCCTAAATGTAAAATGTTTTGAAGTTTTGATCTGATTATTGGTTTTGAAGGCACATAACCCAGGAAAATTAAGGAAAGTGCTTAATTTGTTCCCTTTGCAGTAGTGAAACTCTTTCAAAGTGTCATTTGCTTTGATATGCTATTTAATTTAAAATTCAACCAATCAGTTTATCATAGGAGACTTGGTAATATGCTTGTTAACCAAATGTAAGAAAACCAGAAGGTGCGTTTTTTTAAATCTGACTCTAACTAACCATGTATGGATATGTCCAGTTATGGAGTCCCAGCTCTGCCAGTAAATGAAAAGCACTACACAGGATGTATTACCCTAATGCCTTTTAAAAAGTTAATACAAATTCACAAAGGACAGTTCTATTTCTGAATATTAATAAAAGATAAATTTTGGAATTTAACTTATTCCACAGTTTCTGGTCATTACATAATACAGGTAGTCCTCGACTTATGACCATAATGGAGCCCAACATTTCTGTTGTTAAGTGAGACATTTGTTAAATGAATTTTTCCCCATTTTATGATCTTTCTTGCCACAGTTGTTAAGTGAGTCACTGCACTTGATATGTTAGTAACCTGGTTGTTAAGTGAATCTGGTGTCCCTGTTGACTTTGCCTGTCACAAAGCTTGATCATATTACCTTGGGTCACAGCAGCGGTCATAAATATGAACCAGTTGCCAAGCATCTGAATTTTGATCACATGATTATAGGGATGCTGCAAAGGTCTTAACTGTGAAAAATGGTCATAAATCACTTTTTCCAGTGCTGTTATAACTTTGAACGGTTACTAAATGAACTGTTGTAAGTAGAGGACTACCTATATATTCAGTGTATGAAGCTCATTTAGAATGTTTTAAAATTAAGCAAAATTTACATTTAGGCAGCATTCTTTCCTAATCCTTATTATGCATGGCCCTGTTTTGTGTGCCCAGTTCAATGAATCTGAGTAGTAACAACATGAGAAATATTTTTCGGTTGGTTTCTTTGAGATTTGAGATTTTCATCTTGTTTTTTTTATTTTATTTTGTATCTTCTCTTGTTGATTTTCCTTCTTCCTCCTAATAATTTTATAGCCTTTTAATATTAGCTGTTTCAAGAACAACCTGTAATTCTAAAAACAAAGGTATGTGGAGAAACCTAACATCTCCTGTGGACATTTCTAGTGATGAAGTTCTATGAAGATGAACCACATTGTGGCCACATCATTTTAGTGGCACTTTTATTGGGCAGATAGATCTTGAAAGTTATAAGAAGATAGGAAAAGAAAACAAACTTTAGTATTAACCAAAGAAGAGAAGATATCAGTCTATTAAAGATGGGTTTAGACTTAAGCCTCTTGCTCAAGAGAAGATACAGAGAATACTTCTAGGCCTGAGACTAGTAATCAAGATAAGAGTGTGTAATAGCCGAATAATTATTTGCCCCTATTCTAGCATTTAATACCAAACAGAAGTCTTTTGAAAAAAAGTAGAACATTATAGTGAAACTTTCTTCCCATCATTTGACTTCTTATCCCTGTTGCTGACCTGTTCAGTTTGCATCAGATTTTACCTCAACTTAGTTCATGTTCCAAGTTTTCAAAGATGCAGAATTCTTGTAAGGAGGAGAGGTGTGTTTTCTGTCGCAGTGTTTCTGTATTGGCACTTGGCAGAGCTGTTGACCCTGATTTTACATTTGATCTTGGAAGTGGCATGAGTACAACTAAAGTATTTTCAAATGAGAAATGCAATGCCAAGACTGTTTGAGATGGAGCTAATTTAGCAGTGGGAATAATTTCTGCATATTTTAAATCATAGGCTAACTTGTTTGTCATAATTTATATGTTTACTAGACAACCCAAGCTCTGTTGGATGATCCTCTCAAGAGATATTCCCTTACTTAAACAGAGACACAGAATGACCACTGGTGGGCAAAAAATAGTAGGAGTGTGAGGAACTTTTGACTTCCTACTAGCTCCCCCATTGATATTACCTTTGGGAAACTGGCAGAGAGTAAGAAATCACTGTTGTCATTTCTGAGATGACCTGGGTAACTGCCACTTTGCTGGGCAGAGAGGGGACAAAGGAAGCTATGGACCATGAAGAAAACTACACACACCCTCCTCCCCCCCCCGGTCCTAATCTAGTATGCCCCCAGGGCCTCATCCATCCAGGAGGAAGAGGACTCATCTGTTAGCCACTGGCATCCTCAGCCAGCCCTATCTCACCAGCAAGCAACCAAGTCACTTCCTTGCCCTTCCTGTGGTACCCGCTGCTGTTAAAGAGAGGTTATGTTTCAGCCTTGGTTTCAAAGCAACCAACTACAGCTCATCTATTGGGCTTTGTTGCCAGTTGATTGGACACAGGGGCCAGAGGGGGCTGGAAAGAGAGCAAGGATATAGCCTTCCCATCTTCCTATGTGCAACACAGCCTACAGGATTCTGGAAAGTGTAATTCCAAGGCACAATGGTGATAAAGAGGTCATAAATTTGCCAAATTTCAATCCCACTGGAGTATTGGAAACATTCTATAAGTTAACCCATTTTGAATCCAGATTCAAACTTGTTGCCTTATGATGCACCATTTCACCCATTCGAAAGTTACAGGCACAGGAATTTTAGTAGTATATAGGTAATGCATGGATAAAACATATTTGTAACAGCTGTGGCACATTGTTCAAATTTGAAGAACCCTGCATATACTGGTTCATCCAGATTTTGTATGAAGTGGGGATGTTTTTTGGTTTGTTTCCTTAAAAATGGTTGAATCTAAAAGGCAACTTTGGTGTGAAGATAGCAATTCAAGTGAAACATCTGGGTTCTTAATGTTCTTTGAATATGGCTTTCTTCTTACATGATGTTTTGTTATCAGACTAGGTAACATCATCAGCACTCTGGCATAGGAAAGTGGGATACAGGGTATCCTATCAGCCCTGTGTGTGTTTGGGCAGGATCTGTGACATTTTTTTTTTTCTTTGATTGGTGGCAAGCTATTGTCTGCTCCTTGTTGCGGTGATTAGATGCTAATTCCTACTTATCTTGGGAGTTGGTTAATGAGGATGTGCTCTGGGCCATCTGGCCCTTCTTTTGAACTTTTGTTGTTTTGAAAAATAAGTGGAGTTCATTTCTATATGCTTATTAATTGTGAATTTGTCAGAGTGCCAAGCTTCTAAGAATTCTCTTGCATGGAATTGAATTCACAAGAGAGGAAGGAAACAGTGACATACTACCCTTCTTAGACATACTCATAAAAGAGAAAATAATGGTAATTGTAAGTACATCATAAAGCAACCCCATTTTAATCGAGTACTCAACCACCTACAGCACAGAAAAGTTCATAACAACCCTATTCAGATTACCAAAAATAATTGTGGTAATCCAGAACTCCAGGAAGGAGAAATAGATTACCTATACAACATGTTCCAATTAAACGGATACCCTGCAATTTCATTTTTAAAAATGCCTATTCATGCAACCAACCAGAATGCTTCCTTGAAGATTACAGTTGGCTCTATGGTTTCTGTTTGTAGAGGCCAGGTCTTCTTTACCAGTCCTTTTATTAGGCCGTTTCAACTTGAGGGAGTTTCATTGTATTTTATTGTTAAATAAATCTCTTGGTCTGTGTTGCAGTTTCAAATAGGATAAAAGGGCCGTGTTTACAACTGTTTACATTGCCTCATCAATTATTTTAATTGTTTTAATGGATAGATTGATTAAAGAAAACAAGAAGCATCAGGAACTAATTTTGGACATTTGTTCAGAAAAGGACAACTTAAAGGATGAGCTGAAGAAGAGAACAGAAACTGAAAAGCAATATCTAAATATAATTAGACAGGTAAGAGTGTTATGCCGATCCAAGTTTAGTGTCCCTCAGGAAATGTGTATTTCTATATGTAGCCTTAAATTGATCTTCAGGAAATTAGATTTCAGATTATTCTTTCCACAGTCTAAGACCAATATTTTTTTTTTCCTGGTGGACTAAATTGTAATAATTTCTTTTTTCAATTGCAGAGCAGGGTTTTCAGAAAGGAAAGGAAGTGACAATTCATTTTCAAGCCTTGCTGGACCACATTTAAAACAATATTTATATGCTTTATTTTTGTCTTCCCATATTGCCTGTTAATTTTTCTTTGCTTTCCAATTGATGGTTCTGAAATTTCTGAACCCACTCCAGGCTAGTTCCTAATGGATATGCAAACTGTTCCACAACTAATTTTTTTGAAAAAAATAATGTATTACACAATAGGTTATCACTGCAGAATTTGTTATATACATATTGGCATGTTGGGTTCTTATTCTTATGTTTAATTTTTTTCTAAGGTACCGTAAATGCCGGCGTACAAGGCGACCCGGCGTATAAGACGACCCCCGTCTTTATAGCCGGGCCGCATTCCTAGAACGTTGTCTTATACGCCAGAAACTACTAGTATTTCCGGCGTATAAGACGACTCGGCATATAAGACGACCCCCGTCTTTGGCGCCGATTTCAGCGCTCGCAGAAGTCGTCTTATACGCCGGCATTTACGGTATATAATTGCAGAAATTATGACTTCTAAAGTATCTGTTTTTTAAAGCTTTTTCTTCAAGTTTTACATATTATGTAATTTACATGTACATATACCTACTGACATTTGTTTTCACTTTATAGCTGGAAGTCAGAATAGAAGATCTCCAGAAAGAAGCTAAAACAATTAAAGATAAACTTGTATCTCAGGATGCTGCTGCAAAAAACGCTATACAGCAACTGCACAAAGAGATGGCCTTTCGTACAGATCAGGTGATTAATCAGGTTATAATTTCCTAGCTTAGAATATAAGCTGTTTTATTCCAGTCACATGTTTATGTTATCTATTCTAACTTACTGGGAGCCAAGTTAATAGGAACAAGTTCCTCTCAATTTTCTGTAGGAAACTACGGTATGTATTTCATAGTCCTTCAATTCATTTTTATTTTACTTTCCTTGGAGAAGAAAACAAAAATTTGCTCTCATGTCTAAAGTAAATTTTGTAATATTTGGTATTCTAAGGCAAACAAGAAATGTGAAGAAGCCCGTCAAGAAAAGGAAACTATGGTCATGAAGTATGTTAGAGGAGAAAAAGAGTCTTTGGACCTCAGAAAGGAAAAGGAGATCCTTGAAAGAAAACTGAGAGACGCAAACAAAGATATTGAAAAGCATACTAACAAAATCAAGCAGCTTTCCCAGGAAAAAGCAAGATTGCACCAACTATTTGAAAGCAAGGTATGCTATTTGCACTGACATTTTTTTGGTAGTCACCTCGAATACCAAAAATAGGCAAACATGATAATAACCATTTAGTAAAGTGGAGAAAGGGGTTACATTAAAATGAAGCAGAGGAGAAAAGTTTCAGCATATTTATTTTATATATATCTGTGATGAACTGGATTATTTGGGGGACTCTTAAAGAAAACAATTACCATGAATGGAGGACCTTGCCTAAACACAGACTCATTCCTGTGATTGATATGGTCCCACAGAACTATTGATTATCCAGAATTCAAGCCATGGGGATATTTTTAAAGCAATCTATGGGATTAAGCTATCACCATTTGAGCCTTCCTAAACTTGCAAGATGCTGGCTTTATGTCTGTTCTTTACCTACCTGTCCATCTAGAGTACTTACCACCCACCTACCTACCTACTTACCTACCCACCTATTTGCCGTAGAGTACCTACCTACCTACCTGCCTGCCTGCCTGCCTGCCATTAAAACAATCTCGGTAGAAGAGCAGAAAAGTTCATTACAGGAACCTGCCAGCCGGATATAAAAAGAGATACCCACAATCTTCAAGCATACATTCATTATATTATATTGCTTATCTTCATTTATGCCAGGGGTTCTCAACCTTGGCAACTTTAAGACTTGTGGACTTCAACTCCCAGAATTCCTCAGCCAGCAAAGCTGGCTGAGGAATTCTGGGAGTTGAAGTCCACAAGTCTTAAAGTTGCCAAGGCTGAGAACCCCTGATTTATGCAAATAAATAATATTCGAAAATCTGAATTTCTATCTGTGTTACTTTCTCGAGTATTTTAATTTTTCTTAATTTATGGAAGGCGGAGCTAAGTCTAGTTACCTGCACAATTCTTGTGGCAGTAAGACTCTATTGTTATTTATATGTCATGTCATATAAACATCTAATTTTATTAAGGTAACTAATATTTTACAGAATTAGCACTATTTCACTATAAAACAAAGAAACAAGGAATGCTATGGTATTGTAAAGTGATAAGTTGAAAAAGGACTTACTTCATGTTTTTCAGCATAGTAAAGAATTTGCTGCCCCCAAATGGTGAAATTTGAATTATGTGCAATCTAAATTATGTTTAAAGGAATGTTTACATGTGAGGTTAAAAGTGTTGTGCTTCATGACAGAAATAAAAACCTAATTGGTCAAAAGGCTGATTTACATAAATAAAGACCCCCTTCTGCCTTTGCAATATTTTTTCAATGTAAGATTTATTTTTCTTAAAATAGAAAAAAAAGGAGTTACCACACTGGAGCTAAAATCAAGGTGAGGGGAAAAAATAACAAGTGCTTTAATAAATTCAGATGTGATACCATTAGATTTTATGTTAACATCTGTAGCTTTGACAATATTATCTGTTTTGAAAGAGGTAACAAAATTGTTTTTATTAACTATGTTCAAGCAAAGCCTAAATGGTCATCTGCAAAAATGCTTTAATTGACATTCCTGCAGTAATTAGTCACTTCTAATTCTACAATTCTTTGATTAATATTACAATATCAGTCATATCACATTGTACATTCAGGTCTTTTAAGGAATTAATATTCCATTGTCACTAGCTCAATAGATGCAGGCAAGTAGATTTCTTAAAAATCAAGAAAATCTAGGTATTTTATGCTCTGCTCTAATCCGTTATGATTATATTTTTTGTTTGCAAAATGATAAATTAAACTTTTTATTAGTCCATATAGACTCAATTAACATCAGTATTCTAAAATTATCCTTTATAAAGGAAAATGAAACCACCAGAATGTCACGAGATATAGAAAAATTAAAAGAAGAAGTCAATTCTTATGTGATCAAAGTAAAATGGGCTCAAAACAAATTAAAGGCTGAAGTGGATTTACACAAGGTCAGTATGTCTAATTTTATAAGAGACCTATAAGGGTTTTAAGATCATTTGCTTGTCTAGGAATTTCTTATCTAGATTCTTTATTTAATTTGTAAATAAAATTTAAAATTTTTAATTTGTAGGTTATTGAATGGAGACACAACTTTTTGGAAGGCTCTCAGGTCTTTATTTGGCCCTTTTAAAATAAGATATAGATACTTGAAAATAAAATAATTTTAACTCATTTAATCCTTTCCATGCATTTATTGTTATTTTTTTATCTTTGTCACTTTAAACATTCTGGGCAGGGAGATAGATAATAACAATGAAAATAAAAAAGATTCTACATGCATGGCTTTGGATTTACCATAGGTGGGAGCTTCTCATTGGGGCTCTCTGTTCCACCATGAATTGAAATAGAATGCTATCATTTTTGTGAGGATTTTAATCTACCAATGTTCTTATTTAAATTACTAGTAAGTAATTATTAAATCATTTTCTAGGAAACCAAAGATCGCCTTAAAGACGCAACAACAAAGTTAACTCAAGCCAAGGAGGAAGCTGAGCAGATACGAAAGAATTGCCAAGAAATAATAAAAACGTATCAGGTATGACCTAATTTTACTTTCATATAAATGTTTTCTTGCAATATAGAAAGGTAATTTTCTGTCTAAAACAAAAAGTAATGACCTATGATACACACATATCACGGTTTATATGGGATGATACAAAATATCATGTTATTTTAATCTAATATAGACTTGATCCCTGTGCCAAATAGTTATAACAATGTCATGTGGCATCACTAGTTCATCTTTTCTCAATATCAAATTATTTTCTTAAAATAGGCAATTTTATATACCATCTAAGACAGTGGTGGCGAACCTATGGCACGGGTGCCAGAGGCGGCACTCGGAGCCCTCTCTGTGGCACACGTGCCGTTGCCCCAGCCTCACCTCCCCCCGCGACCCTCTCCTCTCCAGCAGCCCCCCTGAAGGAGAGTCACCCCTGAGCGTGGCCCACACGGAACAGTGCAGCCAAGGACATGGCAGCCAGGCAGCGTAGACAAGACTCTGCCCTCACACCCAATCATGCACAGTTGATGCTGCAGGGCTCGGGCAGAGGGCATGACTGCCATGGCGCTGCTGGGCTGCCTGAGCAATCTGCGGCAGGCCCTGGAGGTGGTGAGTGGCCCTGTGGGCAGATGGGGTGGGGGATGGGGGCAGAGCAGGGGCGGGGCAGGGGGTGAAGCGGGGGCAGGGCCAGTTTTTCGGCACTCGGTCTCTAAAAGGTTCGCCATCACTGACCTAAGAGAAGCCCAGTTTCTGTAGTTACTCAGTTGTAGAAAGTATTGCATTCTTTAAAAAAACCCTTCATTATCTTATTTGTATTATTAGATTTAATATTAGTCAGTATTAATCAATATTAATATTCAAACTGATCTTGAGAGGAGCTAATATAATTTACATGAAAATCATGCTAACATTTCCAGGAGGGCAGACATCTTCACACAGAGAATAAACACATGTTCTTGATTGACCATCTGAAGTTGTCTCTAAACTTGCTCATTTATTGTTGGAAATACTGATTGTTCAAGGCAGCTTTACATTTAATAGATCAAGATATCTGTCATGTATTTGCATCTATTTGTCCCACTTTCAGTGCAATGTGCAAAACAAGTTCAGCCATTCCACAAAGTCCCACATGTTTAGAATGTGAGGGAGTGTTTCAGTCTCACTACTTGCTTATTTCTTGCAGGTATGGAAAGCAGCTATTTGTTTCCAAAGCTGACTTACTAAAACAAACAACTTTTAGGTTTACTGTAAATGAAAGAGAGATAAATAAATTGTGCAATGAATAGGTCTCAATGATAGATATTTTAATGTATAAATTACACCATCAAGATAGTTGAGATAATATTTATATAGGTGTAGGGTTCTGGAGAGGCATTTAAATCTGCTTCATAAGCTCATCTTCTATGTTTTTTCAACTTTAAACTGTAATGCTGTTAGGAATCTGAAGAAATTAAATCCAATGAATTGGACCTAAAACTTCGACTTACCAAAGGAGAACTGGAGAAACAATTGCAAGAGAAATCTGATCACCTAGAGGTAAAACGTATTACTTGCATCAGTTTTTACTTTTTTGTGAAAATTAAATATAGCTGCTAGATTATGACAAAAAGAGATCTGATAAAAATGACATCTAACAGGAAGAAAGCTGAAAGTCATTCCTCCAAATTAAACAGAGATATTTCTTGGGATTTTTTTTTCCCTTCCAAAGGTCCATCATGCCAAGATAAAAGAGCTTGAAGATGTGAAGCGAACATTTAAGGAAGGCATGGATGAATTGCGAACGTTAAGGACAAAGGTAAGAAAAGGGAATTGCCTTTAGCTGCAAGAAGAATGGTTATGTCAAGGATTCTTTAACTTTTCTAGAAAATGTGTACATATAGTTTATTTATTTATTTATTGAAATTATACATGTATGCATCTATGCATGATGGCCTGTTTTGTGATAGATAGATAGATAGATAGATAGATAGATAGATAGATAGATAGATAGATAGATAGATAGACAGACAGACAGATAGACAGACAGACAGACAGACAGACAGACAGACAGACAATCATGAAAAGCAAAACACTTCAGTGTAGCCAAGGTTTTTAGTGCCCTAAATTGCAGATGATCTGTGGGAGAGCAACCCCATCCAAAGTCAGAGATGGAAAGGCTCCAGAGTCAAGAGCCCTAAAATTACTGTGAAGGAGCCTTGATGCTATCAATTGGATAACCCAGGGCAGAGATGTACTGTTGAGTGGCCTCAGTGAATTGATGTTACTTAACTGTGTGCCAAGAGATGACCTAACTCAGCATCATCATTTGGATATTAAATAAAAATTAGGAGAGTAGCAAATTGAAAGGCAACCCACAAGGCAAGGGCCTAATGCAGATGTACATGTTGAATAGTTAAACCTTTAAGTGTGTTTGCTTCTGCAAATTAGGACTTGAAAGCATTTATGAAACTATGAACTCTAAAAGAAGAAACTCTAAAAGAAGGAAGAGTTAATTTTTCTATGCAAATTAAGCTATTTCTGAAATTACACTACAGCCATAAGTTCAGGTCAATGCTTAGCTTTTTTGAGCTTAAATTTAAGAATTATCATAAATGTGAGTCAAAGTCCACCTACAAAGTCAGTATTATAGCAACCCAAAACACTTAAAGAGCCACTTGGCCCCATTTCCCACCAAAAACAAAACACTGGGAGCCGCAAAACCCTTTTGATATCTAAAATGAAGATAACACTGCATATATCCTTTTTTACCTTTATTATAGGTGTGTGTGTGTTTGTGTTTGTGTGTGTGTGTGTGTGTGTGTGTATGTATGTATGTATATACATACACATACACATACACACACAGGTAAAAAAAGATATATGCAGTGTTATCTTCATTTTAGATGTCAAAAGGGTCTCTCTCTCTCTCTGTCTCTCTCTCCCTCCCTCTCTATCTGCCCTTGGTCTGCCACTCCTCTTCCCCCGCTCTCTTTCTTTCTCTCTCTCTGTTTCCTCTCTTTCTTCCTCCCTCTCTCTCTCCCTTTCTCTCTCTCTCTTTCTCCCCCCCCCTCCTATCTGCTGCTCACCTGGCAAGCTTCAAGCTGTTGTCCAACAAGCTAGGGGTAGTCAACCTTGTCTCTTTTATGACTCATGGACTTCAACTCCCAGAATTCCTGAGTCAGCCTAGCTGGGCTACTAGCTCCCTCCTGCCCTTCCTGCTTCCTGCTTCCTGCAGAGATGCAGCAAAGGGAGGAGCTCCGCCCAGTAGGCTTTTCAGCTCCTCGGAGAACACTGTGAGTGCATTCTCTTTTACACACACACACACACACACACACACAGAGAGAGAGAGAGAGAGAGAGAGAGAGAGAGAGAGAGAGAGAGAGAAGCAGGGAAGCGCAAGTGCCTCTCTCTGTCTCTGTCTCTCTCTGCAAAGGTAGAGGAGGCTGGGAGCCACAGGGGAAGGCTCAAAGAGCCGCATGCGGCTCCAGAGCCGCAGGTTGCCGACCTGTGTGCTAGGCTATTGAAAAGGTATTCTGTTTTATGAGCTATTTAATTTTATGCATTCCATATACGTAATTATCATTTATTGCTGAAGTCTAAACCTATTGTGGCAACCTTCATTTCCTGCTCTTCTGTTAAAAATGTGATTCTCCTGAACAGCAGAGTCTTCAAAATCTTAATAGAAGTTGGATAGCTTTGTGAAATATTTCAGTGTTCAAAAGCTTGACAGAATCGCCAACTGCTAATTTAGATCTAATTGTTGCTATTTGAACTTTTATCACTTCATTTTTGTTCATTTTGTTAATTCTGTAAAATCAAGGAGTGAGGAGGTAAGGGTGGAAGACTCAGTAGCCCTTTCTAAAAATGAAATTTTTAAATAAAAGTTTATGCTGTAAAGATGTAAATGCAAAATACTTCAAAATACCCAATAATATTTTCTCCAATTTGGAGGCTAAAACCACACAAAAATTCAGTTTTCCATTTCTAGAATGATCAGGTCTCATATAGCAGTCTATTTTTCCTCTTGTAAAAATGAGAAGATTCAAAGCTACAATTAATTTAGATTAATTGCAATTTATGTCTGTATTTTAATAGTTAATTAAAATAAGGGACCTTATAATTGACAATTCACATTTGGCTTATTTTGACAAATTGAGATTTATCAAGGTAACTTATTTTGTGAGATGAAAGTGAAAATTTCCAAAATAGTTCTGGGATCTCTTGGAAGAGAAAGCAACAAATGATTCTGAAAGAGAAAGTAGGCTGAATATTATCTAGCATGCCTGTTCTAACAAGATATTTTAATGCCCTGAAAAACTAATGAAACATATTATATAAAATGCTATTTAAATTTACGAATTAGCTTTGTTTATTAGGTCAAGTGTTTAGAAGATGAACGGTTGAGAACAGAAGATGAATTATCAAAATACAGAGAACTTATTAATCGACAGAAGGCTGAGATTCATAATTTGCTAGAGAAAGTGAAAACTGTAGACCAGCTGCAGGAGCAACATCAAAGGTATAAAAGTTAAATTTGTAATTCTTCGTTTTATTTTATTTTAAACAATGAAATAATTTTACATGTGGAGCCTTTTATTTGAAACATTCTGTTTGGTGCAACAAAATAATCTCCATATAATTTAAATAGTGGTTTTTAAAAATAAAATTAACTTAATTATGTACATCAAAATACCAAGCAATACTTTGTTGCTGTTTAAGACAGGTGCTCCAGATATTTCAAATTTTGAGTACCTTTTTTAATGTTTAAAATGGTCTGATTCAACCATTCTGCATGATATTTGAAGCAATTTATGTTTTGAATATGAAAGAATTGTTTTGAACTCAGACCAGGGTATTTTAAAGTCAGAATGCTATTGTTTAATACTTCTAAAAGTTTGTTGCAATGCATTGTAGGTTTGTGTTTAAATTCTTGTAATGGTTATTTCAAAATGAAGAAAGATGTTACAGTTAGGCTAATACTAAATATAAAAATGATTATATCTTTAATTATTTAGGATTTTGTTATTATATTTCTATAAACACATATGCCTTTATTTATGGCTAAGAACTCTGGCTGGTTCAGCTATTTGAAATGATATGATCTCATTTTGAAATAAGAATGATAAACATTCTCGTTTTTGTGTGTGTGTTTATCAGTTTATGATGAATCATTCTTAAAAAGTTAAAATCAGAAGAGATCTTTTGAGTAACATTTGCAAAGATAAATTTTATTCTCTCTTATAGTATATATTTTAATAAAATTGATAATTTACCATAACTTTTCTGTGTATTTCATAACAAATAAAGGCAACTATTGTTTAATTGGAGAACCACCATATAACTCACAGGTTTTATAAATGATAATTATCTGTAATGTTTCAGTGTCACTAATTTCCTTTTGGATTTGCAATATGTAACATAAGCATTTCTTGCCAATTAACACTGAAACCCATTTCCACAAAATATATTGGTGGGGTGCTTGCAGTTTGAGGCTGGTGTGTAATTGCTTCATATTAGAAGTGACTCCTGTCATTAAACACATTTTGCTTTAGAAGTTAAAACTATTTAATTGCTATGAATCACCTCATGTCCTAATTTTCTATAACCACTTCCTTAAGTAGGTAATAAATATCTTATATTTGGAACAGGCCTTCACATACCAAGATTTGGTCCAGACCAGTTTAACTGGTCTACTATTGTTTGAAACATTTTTTGTTTGTTTTTATTGTCTGTTTTAACCAAAAGAAATTAGGGTGGGATAAGGGTACTAAGGAATGTCAGGCTGCATGTACTCTGTATTGGTGACTTGTTTTCAGCTGTACATTTTGTATTTGCCCAATTGAGCTAAAGCAGAAAGAGAGCTTTGCTTGCTTGGTTTACTCTCCATGTTTTACTCTTTAAAATATACATTTGATTTAGAGATGAACAAGAAATGAACTCTTGGAAGGAAGAAGTGGATAGTCTGAACACGCTGCTTAATGACTTCCAGAAGGACATAGATGGCAGCCGGAAAAGAGAATCTGAGCTGTTGATGTTCACCGAAAAGCTAACCACGAAGAATGCCCAACTCCAGTCAGAAACCAACTCCTTACAGTTGCAGCTTGACAAGCTAACCTTCACGGAAAGAGAGTCTCAGAATCAGCTGGAACTTGTTAATCAAGCAAGAGATGAACTGGTAAATCAAAGTGCTAGTGAAATATTTCATTTTTCCTCTGTTACCACTACCTGCAATCCTGTGATTGCTGTGGGTCAAGGAGCTCTCCCAAAATTGCGTTTGGTTTCTCCTGGGCAAATTTGTTCCATTTTAAATGGTTTTCACATTAATCCTAGAGTTCAGTTTTCTCTTTACCAATAGGAATCATGTCTTGCTTGCATTTCATTTCCGTTTGTTCACGTAAAGCAATAACATAACAATAAACTTTAATTCCTTTGGGCATGTAGGGAACCATGAACTGCCAATGGAGAATAAATAGCTATCCTGCAAAATGCAACTTTTGCTTGTAGGGTTTAGGATATGCTTTATGACTTGCATATGGTAGGGCAGGGTAACCCTTGGTTTGAATCTCTTCCCATGGCAGATTATCCCTTTACATGACCTCAAGCAAGCAGCAAATATATTTTTATACTATGTAGTATTTATCGATTTTGACCAACATTGGTTTAAAAGAGTTTTATTTTATTCTGTTCTGTCGCTTAATTTAGTTTTAATGTTTTCTGTTCTATAGACCATTCCTGAACCACCCTATAAGGGTTACATTTCTACATAACAATTGTGCTTATTTTCTGCTTTCCATGATAAATCCATGTTGCTAAAAAAAAGGAACAGTCTATTGGCCTGAAACAAATTGAATAGGATGAACCAGACAAATCATTCAGCAGACCAAAAATAAACTCTTTTATTTTAAAACAAAACAAAATAGTATTTTAAATTATATGAAATACTGTGGAAAGGAAATGCTGATTATATGTCATTTTGCAGGCGAATAAATTGAAGAAGGAAGAAGAGCTCCACAGAAATAAGGTCCAGATGCTGGAGATGGAACTGGCATCTCAACAGAAATCATTTGCAGATTTGAACACCAAGGCAGAGGAATTAAAAGATGAACTCATGACGCAGAAGCGAAAGCATGCTGCAAATCTTAAAGACCTCACCAAACAACTTCAGCAAGGTTAACATTTCTCACACATTGGCTTCTGTGGTGTGTATTTGACCTAGGAATTAAAACATCAGCTTTGCATCAAAGATCTTATGTTTTGTTTCATTAGCACGAAGAAAATTGGATAACCTTGAAAATGGCAATTGTGATAAAGAAATCAGCAGCATGGGGAGTCGTTCCAGCTCATCAGGTGAGTTACTTTGCTGGGTTTGTGAAGAAACAAAGCGATGCTAATAACATATGCTACAGCTGTAAAATCTGCCATGAGAATACATTCTTCCCCAGCAGTTGCTAAAAATTTCCTACAGATTATGTCGGACTTGAGTATGTACATGTTGAATTTTCTTATGAGGCTTTTCTCTGAAAGCATAACGATTCTGTGGTCTTCCAGGTCCAGAACAATTTCACATTAACCTCTCATGGGATAAACTTACAAAAATAGTGTACCATATAGCTATAAGAATGTATTCACAAATGCCTATACTTTGTTCAAGGTCAAGGAAATAAGTGCAAATAATTTCAAAATTGCTTGTGTATATAACATGTATGAAGTTCATAGTAAGTTTGTTTCTATACTTGACTCACCTATATATTGTTGTGATTAATTTTCTAAGCGTAGCTAATTTTCAGCTAACAAAAGCTGTATTATGCCAGCTTCCCTGTTCTTTCATTCCTAAGATCACCTATTACTTTATATGCAATTGCTGATACAGCATTGCTGATATTTTAAGGGTAGCACAAACTGACTCTGCTATATTTGCAGTCCTTTAAGAATACCATCTTCATTTATCTTTAGGCAATTTCATGCCCAAGCAATTTCTGGATGTCATAAGATTCTTTTCTTTTTTCTTTTTTTGCTGACATTTAATTTCTTTTGTTTCTTTTTGTCGTTCTGCCTAAGAGTCCCACAAAAAAAATGAGAGCCGTATGTTCTTTATTGCGAAATGAACACACAAACAGAACAAATGGAGTCAGGGAGGTCTTTGAAAAATGGCTTGGTTTGTGAATTCTGCATGAACTGCAGTTGTAGTTCTATGGTGGAATGCCTAAGTAATCCTTGAAGATTTTGACCTACCATCTCTAATTGTTTTTTTTTTAATCTTTAGAGATGCCTCTGAATGGGTTTTTGGTGATTTAAAAGTGCTGTCTGAAAAGCTGGAGATACACAAATGAAGACTCAATTTATAGATTACCTGTTGATTCTGTTGCTTTAAAATTTATTATTTCTATAGTACTTTCAAGCTGAAGATAATATATTAGTTCTTGGTGTAGAACTTTCCAAGAATCTATGTGATCTTAACAGTATCAAACATTAATCACGAAGTTCAAAGTGTTTATGGCTGCCACTTTCCAACTCTTTTGTTTATTTTTTCTTACCAAAAAATTAATTCCATTTAAAGAAATGTGACTTTCATGAATGTTATTAGTTTCTGAACAGAGACAAAACTTTTCCTGGACCTAATTCTGAAGATACACACTTGGGAGAAAGAATCAAAGGGATGGGGGAAAGAGAGAGATTTTTCTTAGAACTGGACAATCCAATTAAGATGTACTTGGTTTGGCAGGGTCTCTTAATGCTCGGAGCAGCAATGAAGATCGTTCACCAGAAAACACTGGCTCTTCAGTAGTTGTCGATCATTTTCCTGAGGTGGACAAAACTATCTTGATTGAGCGGATAGTAAGACTGCAGAAAGCACATGCTCGAAAAAACGAGAAGATGGAGTTCATGGAAGATCATATCAAACAGCTAGTGGAAGAAATCCGGAAAAAAACCAAGTATGTCCTCTCATTAGCTAGGAAAAGAAAAAAACATAGTAAAACTGTAGAATTGTCCATAGCACATTTGTAAAGTAAAAGTTCAAGTAGTGGTAGCCTTTTCCAAATAGCCCCAGGCATTTCACTGTTTATTGAATAAAGGAAAAAGACATGTATTCAATAAAAGGGGAAATTTCCATTTCTCAACTTTATATACAAATTCAGTAAAAAGTAATAAACAGAACTTGCTCTGAAATTACATGAAGATAGCAATGATGATTACCCCATAGAAATATAATATTTATGTTTTGATGTATACAATATAGTCAGTATAAAAAGGTGAGTAGTTGATTCCGAAAATACTCCACCATAAACTGAATCAAAAGTAATTACTTGCTAGAAAGTCATTAGCTTAAATGTATTCCTGCACTGTTCTTTCACTGGCTTATTTTAGAGATGAAACTCTTCAGGTTTGTATAAAAATATTTGTGTTAACTACTGCCATTCAATACTCTGAAGTAATTATGTGGCTGCCCATAATTGCAATGAAATGTTTAATGTACACTCTGGCAGAATATATAATTACAGTTCTCCAGCTTTGTAACTGCTAATTGAAACCTATATGGTACAAAGATCTGATCCTTAAAACAATATCCAATGTAAAGTTTCTAAGAATTTACAAAATTAGCTCCATGGTGATATTTTGTCATTTTCAAATAGAACAATGAACTAGCTCTTGTCATCTGGAGCAACTAAATGATTTTTTGTAGATTTGATCACATAAGACATTTGATCACATATCATAAATGGTAACCCTGGGAGTATAACTTAGGCATGAACTTATTCCTTATTTTTTTACTTTTTTGATGGAAAAGATACCATTTTTTTAGAGTTTCGCGTAAAAGGAGTTCTTTTCTTGCCATTTACTAACTAGGATATACATAAAAAGTTATTTTTAGTTATTGGAATTTACATCTACTGTATATCAAGTGTGAAGATCCAAAGAATTGCAGATTTTCTTCAATTGCATAATGATGGTCTAGTCCAAGTTCGGAAAGAAGAAATGACCCAAGAAATAGTTGAGCAGGGGTAATTTGAATATACAACATTGCTGTACAAAGAAAAGGGAAATGAATGATATTATGGCAGTTCACATATTACACTTTAACATATATCCTATATCCAGAAAGCTTTCTGATAATCATTTGGCATATTGGATTGTGCAGCCTGTCCAAAAGTCACTTCCATGTGGTGCAGAACTTGACTGTAAGGTTCAGTGACTAGGTTCTTGCATTGCCCTGAGCCACCTTACTGTAGTTTCCTTTGATTTGGCTTAGCACTATCCGCAAACCCATTCTGTGTGGTTTGTAAGCCATACATCACGAAGTATGCCATTGTGACCTGTTAAACATATCCTTGTTTCTCATTTAGGCTAGAGAGTTGCAATTCCATAAGTATGTATATGGAATTCCAGAGGAGCAGCTCCTTGTCTTTAATCAGCAGTGGATGCACAGAAATAAAAAGCAGCCTGGCCCATTCTTCCAGAATTACAATACAGGACTCCCCATTCTTGACATTTTCGAGAGTCACGCTCTGGGTCAAGTGTTAATAAATGGATTTTCTTAGTTAAGGTGTAAGACTGATGCAAATGAATCAGAACTTTCCCACTAGGCCCAGTCAGGCCAAACTTTTCTATGACACTGTCTTATTCTACTTTTTTTTTTTTTTTTTGCAGAATAATCCAGAGTTACATTTTGCGGGAAGAAGCTGGTACACTTTCATCTGAAGCATCAGATTTCAATAAAGTACATTTAAGTCGGCGTGGTGGAATCATGGCCTCTCTCTATACATCACACCCGGCAGACAGTGGACTCACATTGGAACTCTCTCTGGAGATAAATAGGAAACTTCAGGCAGTCCTGGAAGATACCTTATTGAAAAATATTACCCTAAAGGTGATCATTAAAATAACACCCCACAATACATTTTATAAAATATTGTAAACCATTTCAGGGCAGCTTTAAAAATTGCAGAGTAGTGAAGAATACTATAGCGACTGAGCAGCAAAATGAACTGTGCATTTGAACAGCAATTTCCATTAAGAAAAAAGACTAAAGCTACAGTAAAAGAAATCTGATTATAATTAGGCTTTCTACTCTAAATACACTGGGGAGTAGTTTTCAGAACAGTTAGGGGAGTGTTTTTAAATTTGGGTATAATCTTGTTTTAAGCAAAATAAAATAAATATATAATTAAATTATTGTATGACATGTTTAACAAAAGAACCAGTCATCATTAAACCCAGATGTGTCTTTGGGGGGGGGGGCGGGCACAGGTAAGATGGGAATTGGCCTTCAGGAACAGAAGGACTCTTATCGGAGAAAGAGGATTTTCTGTTGTGGAGACTTTAACTGTAAATGTGAAAAACGCTGCATTTGTAATTTGCCCATTATTCCTGCTGATAACAGGTATTCTAAGGCAATGTTGCCCTTGAACCACTGGCCAAAAACTTCTCTGTTCATGTGTAATGCCCATAGCAATGTCAGCAAGCTTGGGCAATTGTACTCCTGTTAGAACTAAGAGAAAGTTTTTAAAAGCATAAAGAGAGCAAGGACAAAACTAGGCTATTTCCTTAATCAGCCATTCAGATAGTACAAATTAGATTTCATCACCTCTATCCCTTTTAGGACTAATCTGCACTTAAATGAATCTTTTCATGTCTATTTCAAAGCCTGGCTCGAAAATGAAAATTTCTCGATATATTTTTAAAGTTTTCAGAGCCCAGTTCTTATTTATTATTTTAATGATTTATGTGGTATTTTAATTGTATAACTGTAAGCCTTCTAGGGTTTCCTTGGCAAGGTGGTGATATAGAAGACTAATAATAATAATAATAAAAAAATGTCAGTACTGAGGAGATGAGTGCTTTAGCTTAAAAGGTTATGGCCCCAGCTATTATATTTCTTACTTTATAACTAATTGAAATTGGTTTATAACTAATTGAAATATGTATCAGAATCCCACTCATTAATTCCAAAGGAACATATGAAAAGGTATTTCCGATTGATGCTGAACCTTTTCATATAAGTCTTTATATGAATTAAGTAAGAACCTTGATTTGACTACAAAACTCAAATAAATTAAATCAGTTTTAACCAGTTTTTCTTTTGCTTGATGTTGCCATTTTAAATTTGCTTTTTAGAGTATATTTTATAGTACTGTTAAGGTGACTGAACAATTTTATTTTGTTGGTGATGATGAAAAAAACATTTAAATAGGAGAGTGCATCTTTTTAAAAAAGGAATGTTTAAATAATAAAGATTGAATTCTTGAATCAGAAATATGGAACAAATTTCTCATCTATTTTTTAATTGTTCTTGATCAGCTTGTTCCAAATTCAAATGTGCTTTAACTGGGTGTTGAATTTGGATTTGTTTAAAGTCTTGGAATATTTACAGGCTTTGTTTAAAAAACAATAACAATGTCCTATTGTGACTCAGTTTTATAAATTAAACAAATTTGATTGAACACTTTAATATCACTGTGAAGCTTGTGGAACATTTCAGATTTTTTCCACAATTTTTTTTTTGCAATGCTGAAATATAACTGTAATTCATCATAAAAATAAATAATGTACTGGCTGAATTTGCAATTTCCAAAATAAGGCAGTTTTGCATTGATTAAAAATACATAACTAAATGAATGCATCTTGTATCTTATGAATATGTGCTGGTTCAGATAATATGTTTGAATAAATTCTGAATGTGTAGGTAGCTCTATGTGAATTTAAATATTGGATGTTCTGCTAACAATTATTTTGTCTCTTTTTTTCTTCAAAGGAAAATCTGCAAACTCTTGGAACTGAAATAGAACGGTTAATTAAGCAGCAACATGAATTAGAGCAGAGGCTTACACAGACATAACTGAGACCAAGATCAGAAAAGTAGATGTTCCAACTTTGATGATTATATAAAATTGGATGGCCAGCTATGTGTTGTCAGTCCAACAAAGTTTTAACAAAACAAAGTTGATTGGGAATAACTTTGACCAGATCCAAGTGTCTGGTTTGTTTAAATGGAATGGAGACTTTGAACTTTTCTGAACCTACTTCTATCCATCACTGAAATTAGTCATATCAACACTTACAGCTTCTTCTGTTAGAGAGAATGCAACCACTCTGCTTTGTGCAATTAAAGAAGCAACTTTTAAAAATGGACTGCTGTATAAGACTGGTGCATTTGTTGTTGATGTTTTTTTGCAGAAGGTAGATGAGAAAAAAGAATGGCTGTTGCATGTATATTAACCCCAGTGCCTTCTAAGGCATACACTTTTTTCTTCAAATATACATGCGTTCTTGGATATATTTAGATTTGTTATTTATAACATGCATTGGGAAAGGGCTTCATAGTACACATTCTTTCAATATACAGTTGAAAAATATGTCAGGTATTTTAGCAACTTGACCAAAAACATTTTTTAAAATCCCTCGAGTCCTCAAATGTGAATAGTGTCTTTTTTGTTTTTTAAAAAAACCACCTTTTTAAAAAAAAGAACATTGGAAAACTCTGTAGTGTATAGACATAAGAGGTTAAAACCGATTTTGTATATATGGGAAAATAAAATATAGAATCATAAAGCCTTCACATCTTGAGGATTGACTGTGTTCATTAAAATGGAAATAATAGACATGGTAATTATTGCACATAAGCACAAGTGATGTTACATATATCTGTGCAAGTGGCTGATAACATACCATATTGATAGGAAAGAAAGGAGAATATACCCAGATACTGAAGATACTGAGATCACCTACATAACTATTTAATAATATTAGTCTAATTGTACAAATAATGACAATTGTTCTTTATCTTCATCTATATAGCTTTGGTTGGAATAACAACTACAGAATTCATAATGCCCATGTTGGTTGGTTATTCTGTGAGGCTTTTTTTAAAGGTTATATTTATATTCTGCCTGTTTACCCAGTTTTGCATAGCACCCAAAGGCAGCTCATCCTGGCACACTTGAGAGAAGATTGCCAGTGGGATGCAATGGAAGAATAATGGGAGAATGAATAAAGTATCATGGCTTAAAACTGGAGATGAGAGCAATTATTGCAGTACTAAGTGTAAAGCATTAAATATAATTAAGGCTATGAATAATGTTGGTAGAGAAAATCAAGGATATTATGATGATAAAAACATCTTCCATTCTTCTCCCACAACTTGGGACCGTTCGTGCAGTTGGCTAAGAATAAGATGAGTTGTAGTGAATGACGTCTGCATTAACCTTGCAGAAGAGAAAGTGAGCTGATACAAGCTTTATTGCTTTGACAAGCACTAGCATGTGTGTATCTATGCTTCCAAGGTGCGACAGGTTGAAGCTCAAACACTCTTTTGTTCTTTCTCAATGGCCAAAGGGAAGCAATAGATTTTTAGGTATATTAAGCAAATACCTAGCCTTCCTCTTTTTATCCCTGCTGCGCTTTTAGGAAGACAGCACTTTAAATTAATCCATTGTTCGAACATTTTTTCCCCTTTTGCTTGGTTAAAACTAGTTTCTGTCCAAAAATGTACTATTACCAAACACTTGAATCTCGTGTGATTACATTTAAAATAAGATAATCAGAAAGTTAATCAAAAGTTTTTCATTTTATCAATAAAATAATCTTTCCTGTGATCCGTTCTATTTTATTTCCTCTTGCCTATATATGAGAGGGAGATAGCAACCGTTTTGAGTTGCAGTATTCCTTGTGATTGTTTATTCCAAAGTACAAAACTCTTTTAGCACTGTTTACATAGTTGCATGTGATGACTCTATTCCTTTTCTCAAGTACAGAGATTTTAAGACATGCTTTGGGGAAAACAATAACAACCAGTATCCAAGGTTAAACAAATTTCTTGTATAAACGTGTACATAGTTCTAGAGTTTGTATTTTTCTAAAAGTTGGGCTTTTCATATTTTTCCAAAAATACAACACATGTATAGCTGCAACATTACAACAAGCAAAGATGCTTGTCTTCTGATTCTTAATGTTTAATTGTACATTATATCTAGGGTTGTGGATATTGCTGTACAGAATAATTTTTAGATTACAATCCTGTGTTTTCTTGCTGAGGAAATAACATCTGTTCAATACAACTGAACTTATTGCTGGGTATTTTTCTGCATACTGTTTTTACTTCATGTTTAACAAATTAGGACTAAAATAATAAAAGAAAATGCCCTCAACCTTTTTAATGCCGCGACCCCCAACCGGTCGTAAGTCGAGGACTACTCAACCGGTCGTAAGTCGAGGACTACTCAACTGGTGCAGCACCGTTTGCAGAATGGGACTTTTGGCGGGCTCAGCAGAGCAGAAACAGCCTGGACAATTCCTATTGGCTTTTGAAAGCCAATAGAATTAGACTCTATTCAAGAGAGTCTATTCTATTGGCTTTCAAAAGCCAATAGAATAAAAGGGAGTAGCACAGCTAAGGAAAAGGGGAAAAAAATGGCACACTTGTGTTGTTTGGCGACCCCCGTGAAATGGTCGTTCGACCCCAAATGGAGTCCCGACCCACAGGTTGAGAACCACTGGCCTAGTTAATCACAAAATACTGAGTTTAAGGACTGAAATTGCATGTCAAAGTATTTGCAAAAGCAGAGTTTCTCACATGTGTATGACAGAACTATATTCATTTTCAGACCAGTATATTGCTGACCTTCAAAACTTTAGCCTATGAACTAGGACCATGTTTGTAATTATACTGATGAATGTTTAAATTGCATTCAAACTATATTATTCTTGAATAATATAGATGTTTGAAGATAAACCTTGTTTGAGTATGAAAAGGATTACTTTGTGAAATGCAAAATGTACTGCAGTAACGGTCAATCCAAATAAATTAGCTTTTCTAAAAACGCAGTTAGAAATAAGCCTGACATATCCTCAGCATGAGCATGGTTATCTTCTAAATGTTAGAAATGTATCTTAATATACACGTTGCATCAGATCACCTTTGTCTTGGCTTAGTAAGCCTTGTATTTATACACTCACCTAACCCATTTCAAAATGTGTATCAAATACCTTTTTGGTTAGCACCTAAGCCAAAGAATACGCAAGCAAGCTGAAAGCAGGGAAATTTTTTTCCTTAAACCTAATGCCATCTTTTCTTTACCTTTTCTTTTCAAAATTTCCTTTGGCTTTCTTTCCCATCTCTTTTCTCCCAGAAACTTGCTGTCATTCAGTTTCCAGGTTTTATCACAATGGTAAAAAATATTGATAACTATGTTCTTGAGGGTTTATTTTGAAGACGTTTATAGGATCATGAAATCTAATCAATCTTATGCTTTAGAAGCCTGGTTGATTTCATCTTCAGAAATAATCCTCTTTCTTCAAACATATTTTTGCTAGATTAAGATCAAAGGACTTAATTAGGGAGGTTTAATGAAAACAAAGTTTTCTCTGGATGTTGAATCTGCTACAATGACAGGGTTTTTTTATGACTGTATTTGCTTTGAATCGTGAACAAGTGTCAAGTTTGAATTGATCTTCCAGGCTAGTATATTAAAGCCAAATTCCCCTTGAATGAAGCTCAATTTTTGGTAATTTCTATGGACATGTCTGTTTTATTGGCAATAATATGAATTTGCTATTACTTCTTTCTGGGATTTTAAAAATGTATTAATTTTCCATTCTAAATTAGTATTTTCTCATTGTCTCCCATCCAAGAACAATGCCACTGATATTTAGTTTTTAGATTATTCATTGCAGTAGAAATTAAAAAAAACTGCTCATATTTATTTATTTATTTATTTATTTATGAGACTTATATACCGCTTTAAGTGCAAGCACTCTCTAAACGGTGTACACCAATAAGCAATGTATATATGTATTTACATTGCCCCCAATAATCTGGGTCCTCATTTTACCTACCCCGGAAGGATGGAAGGCTGAGTCAACCTTGAGCCGGTGAGATTTGAACCTGCTGACCTGCTGAACACAGTCAACTAAAGTGGCCTGCAGTACTGCACTCTAACTGCTGTGCCACCTCGGCTCATGGCTAGGACAAACAATTTGTTAATGCTATTAGCAGTATTAAATAAGTAAACTAAAGTGACTTTCTTTATATTCTTTATATTCAGGATGATTAGACACTCATGGATCGATGCAGCAAACCTTTGAAACAACAATAACTAAGTTGAAGAGAGTTTAATTATTAATATCTAATGATCTGCTTTTTACTAATGTTTATTTTTAACTATTTTAGCTCACGGAATGAGAAAAATAAACAAGCAGTATGAAAACTAGATAGCAATGGGAAAAAAGAAAGTTTGGAAATTACTCAGGCAATCTTTGGCTATTCTAAGCTTGGCCAGTTTTAATAATAATAATAATAATAGTAATAATAATAATAAAGTTGGAAGGGACCTTGGAGGTCATTTAGTCCAACCCCCTGCTCAGGTAGGAAGCCCTATACCATTTCATACAAATGGCTGTCCAATCTCTTCTTAAGAACTTCCAGTGTTGGAGCATTCACCGCTTCTGGAGGCAGGTTATTCCACTGGTTAATTGTTCTAACTGTCAGGAAGTTTCTCTTTAGTTCTAGGTTGCTTCTCTTCTTGATTAGTTTCCATCCGTTGCTTCTTATCCTGCTTTCAGGAGCCTTGGAAAATAGCTTGACTCCCTCTTTGTGGCAGCCCTGAGATATTGGAATACTGCTATCATGTCCTCCCTCGTCCTTCTCTTCATTAAACTAGACATACCCAATTCCAGCAGCCTTTCCTTATATGCTTTAGCCTCCAGTCCCCTAATCATCTTTGTTGCTCTTCTCTGTACTCTTTCTAAAGTCTCAACATCTTTTTTACATTGTGGTGACCAAAACTGGATGCAGTATTCCAAGTGTGGCCTTACCAAGGCATTGTAAAGTGGTATTAATACTTCACGTGATCTTGATTCTATCCCTCTGTTAATGCAGCCCAGCACTGTGTTGGCCTTTTTGGCAGCTGCAGCACACTGCTGGCTTATATTTAAGTGATTGTCCACTAGGACTCCGAGGTCCCTCTCATAGTTACTACTATTGAGCAAGGTACCCCTTATACTATACCTATACATTTGGTTTTTCTTGCCTAAATGTAGAACCTTACTTTTTTCACCATTGAATTTCATTTTGTTAGATAGTGCCCAGTGTTCAAGTCTGTCCAGATCCTCCTGTATCCTAAGCCTGTCTTCTGGAGTGTTGGCTATTCCTGCCATCTTGGTGTAGTCTGCAAATTTGATGATTTCTCCATCTATCCCCTCATCCAAATCGTTGATGAAGTTATTCTGGGCCCAGAACAGAGCCTGGGGCACCCCAGTACACACTTCCCTCCATGTATATGCGGTTCCATTGAAGACCACACGCTGAGTATGGCCGGTCAGTCAGCTACGGATCCATCTGATAGTGATTCTGTCTAACCCATATTTTTCTATCTTATCAAGTAGTAGGTTGTGATCTACTTTATCAAATGCCTTACTTAAGTCCAAGTAAATTATATCCACAGCATTCCTCTGATCCACTAATTTTGTCACTTGGTCAAAGAATGCAATAAGATTTGTCTGGCATGATCTGTTTTTGACAAAGCCATGCTGGCTTTTAGTAATGACTTTGTTTGCCTCTAGGTGTTCGCTGATTCGTTGTTTGATTATCTTTTCCAGAATCTTCCCAAGTATTGAGATCAGGCTGATAGGTCTGTAATTTCCTGGGTCCATTTTTTTTCCTTTTTTGAAGATGGGAACTACATCAGCTCTTTTCCAGTCCTCCGTAGTTCCCCAGTGCTCCAGGATCTTTGAAAAATATAGTTCAATGGTTCTGAGATCACATCTGCCAGTTCCTCGAGAACCCTGGGGTATAATCCATCTGGTCCTGGTGATTTGAATTCGTCTAGGCTGGACAGGTGCTTTGGCATTTCTGTGTCTAGACTTCAAGCGAGAGAGCCCTATATGAGTGGCTGGTGCCTACCCACTGCGAAAGATGGAATCCTGGCGGGAATGCAGCTGTAGAACCAATAGAATATCCAATTGCTGCAACATGCGTGATAACTACATTACTCCTTTGCAGGTCAATAGGCCATACCTCACCCCAGCAGATGTAAGATCCTAAAGCTGCTGCTAGGAGACCTCAACTACAACTCGATAGTATCTACATGCTGAAGAATGTGGATACCTGCGGGAGCAGCTACTGTTGCTACTTTGCAGGATGAACTGGCGCTGTGCAGATACGACCCTAGAAGATCTTGCCTAATTGCACATGTGGTAGCGTGAGAAACACCAGCTGCCTGTACTGTGTATAGTTACTTGGAATCATTCCAAGAGGCTTGAAGAAGCGAGTCATCAAAGACTCATCAAAGTCATCACTTACCATTTTCTTGCCTATCTTAACTTGCATTTCTATTCTGTTTTTTATGGCACTATTTTTGGTAGGTTGGTCTGTTTTTTCCCTTTGTGTAAAGACAGATGCAAAAAACGAGTTAAATAGTTCTGCTTTCTCCCTTTTGCTTGTCACCTTCTTGCCACTTTCCCCCACTAATGGACCAATCATTTCCTTCACTTTTTTCTTGTTTTTTACATGTTGAAAGAAGCTTTTTTTGTTATTTTTGACTTTGGTCGCAAGCCTTAATTCATTTTAAGCTTAGCGTTCCTCACTTCATCTTTGCAG